AGGATCATAGCCTAAAGAAAATTGGTGTTAGACACTTCCAAGAAAACATTTTTTAATCAATGTGATGTAGAGAAAATTTACTTTTAAGTCCACGGTCTGCATATCTGTTCAAGGTTTGCTACTCCGATGTTACTTTGTACGATCACTGATTTATTGATTTTGGATTTAGTTGTTGACGGAGCGTCTTTCAAGGTTTATGTTGGCAATCATTCCAACAGAACATTTCAGCTATCAGATTACATATGTGTTTCAAGAAACTTGAAATTTTTCTACAGAATGTTGTCCTTCTTCTTTCGGGGTCTTAAAGTTGAGACACTAGCAATATATTGTAGAATAATGATTGTAGCTGTGGTTATAGCATCTGCATTTGTTAATGCATCATTTTTGTTTATATCGTCGTTGTTAGTAACATGGCATTAGCTTGGGTATACTCTTACCTATATCACCAGTTCGATAGACATTGCAGTTAATATGCCTTTCCGATTTGTTTCTTCAGCAGTTGTTCTACATTATTTTTCGGGGGAAATTGAGGGATATTGCAAGGTTTGCACACAAAAGTGCAGGACTTGAAAACGTAATAGGGTTGATGATAGTTTTTGTATGTTAATGTATCACTATTTGAAGATTTTGCTCTCACAATGATAATTAGAATTAGAATCATCTGTAGTATGTTTTAGTAAAGTTCGTGAAATTCCTTCATTAAGCGAAAAGTAAAAATTTGATTTGTCTGCTTGCAACTTTAAACTAATAATTGCTTGGTTAAAATTTATTTAGTGAGTGATTGTTTCACAATTTTAATAATTTGTCAATGTTCAATTTTCGAATGATAAGCATAGTAAGAATGGATGATTGTTTTCCTTTGTCGGATTTGTTTTCAAACAGAAATAAAAAAACAAACCAAATTGAAAAGATATACAAAATTAGCTGCGCTTGCAGAAATATTGTATAATTGCGGTGTTCATTAACTCAGATTAAACCTCCAATCCGACCTGCACATGACTTAAGTTCTTAAAAAAGTAAAGGAAAAATTGGTACGATTTTGAAGTGCAGGTCTCGCCACTCATACGTTTGCTTATATTCTCATAATTTGTTTATTTGCCTCGCTTTCGTATCAGCCGAATGGATGATGAATGGGATGTGAGGTCTGCTATTTGAAAAGGGGTGAAATATAAGTAGAAACGTATGATGTACTGAAGTCCCAATTGGGGATTTGAGTCATAAAAATGCTATTACGAAAAACAACATTTAAATCACGTTTTAAGATGTACAATTAAATGTCAAGTTCGTTGTATAAATATTTTGTCAATTAAACTCAAGCCATTAAATTATGATTAGCAAATCTTTGAAATACTGCTGAAGTTTACTAAATCAAAATTAACGAAAACTCAATAATGTTTATATATTATATTTAGTTTAATTAAGACATAAACAAAAACCTTCATACCATCAGACACCTGCGAGTCACTTCACACCAAATTAGCAATATTTACTGTGTGTGAATTATTTTCTTATCAATTTTAGTTATTTCCCGCTGCTGGGACCATCCATGCAGTACCAATTTGAAGAAATGCATTGCTCAATTATTATAGTTAGAACTTCCCAGTTTTATTCTATGTCAATACTATTACCTTTTACCTGTTACTTAAGATATTTATAAGATTCTCGTTTACCTGGCTCTGTTAATGCTCTGCAATTAAGTACTCGTTCACTCCAGTACGTATACACACACACCTACTATACTACCGACTTCCATTCGCAGCTACATTTTCCTATCTATACGTAGGCAATGAGGCCTTTTAACCTTTATTGTTGTAGCTAAGGAAACTTGTCCTGCTATTTTAACACCTGCCTGGATAAATGACTGCCTGCCGGAGGGATATGTGCTCAAACTCTATTGTGCCATTGTGCATCCTAAAACTGCTCTCAGTATTTGTAAAATATTTGAAAAATTATATTCATTGTGCTGCTAATATTTTTCGTTTCCATTTTTTGGGTTTGTTGGCATTTTCTTTTCTTTTTTTTCTATCTTTCTTTTTCTTTGTCATATCAATTTTTTCCTTTTGATTTCCCATGTTTGCTTCACACTTTTAACGATCTGCAACCTTACAACCTTACCTTTGCGGACTCTTTGTTGGCATTGTCTTTAACATATAAAAGATTCGACTATTATCCTTTGAGTCCGTGGCGTATTCGAACCATTCTGAAACTCATACGAATAGTTAGCAAAGCTAAAACTCCATCAAAAAAACAAATATGGAAATTATAGAAGTAAAACCCTATGGAAGAAAATGAATAAAATAAATTAAGTAGCAAAATTTTTTAGGAAAACCTCAATTTTTCGTAACAAAAAAGCTTATGAAATTGATTTTTACTAACTGATAAAAGGACACTTGAAACCTTTAATTTTGCTGGGCATGCAAAACAAGAAGAGAAGAACAATTATCAGTTTGAAGGTTTTAAATTGAAGAAAAGTAATGATGGACCTCATGACATATTATCCTTTTTTTGGAACATCTATGTCCCTCATTCGTACTTCAGCATATAAATCTGTTTAGTTTTTCTAGTAAATCGTGGAATTACATTTTTTAGATACAATTTCTTATTTTATATGTACATATGTATACAAAAAAGGAAGACATTTTTCATAAATTTTAATTAAATTTAATTAAATTTTAATTGAATTAAATTAAATTTAAAAAATTAAATTAAATTGTAATCAAATAAATTAAATTTTGATTAAATCAAATTAAATTGAAATTTAAATTATATATTTTTAAATTATAAGTTTTTAAATTTCTATAATTTTGAATTAATACATATATTTAATTTTAATTAAAATAATTTAATTGATAAGAAACAACAACAATATATTCTTTCCTGAGTTCCATAGTATATACCCTGATCAAATTTTCCCGAATTTTTCATATTTTCGTCATGATAACATATTCTGCATATGCTGTGAAAGTTGGTCTTAATGATAATTTTATATTTTGGCTCTAATCTACTCTCGTATTCAGCTAGATTTAAAATATTATAAATAGTCCTAGGTATTAGTAAAATATTTCTCATAGTTTCGGCGCACTTTTCCCCAAGTGGTGGCTATAATACCTGGACTGTTCCACTCCAAACGATAATGTTTCATTTTACATTTAAAAACATTTATGTTTTAGTTAGTAAAGTGAAAAAATTGAAAAACAATAACTAATTAAGTATCAAAATCTCAGTCAAGAATCAACGCAAGGCGCCAATTACCGTACATCGTTTAAATAATGCAAAATAATGGAAAAACACAAGTTGTGTAAACAGTTACTTGACAGTCAAAAATGATGTAGGATTTTTTTTTGTCATTCTTCTTTCAATAATTTTATAATTTTTTTTTTATGTTTATATTCCTAATATAGTAATTAACAAATACATACATATATGAAATAAAAAACATATATGTATACTAAAACAAAAAGTTCTCTTTTTTTGAATAAGATGTGAAAATTCTCAATTTTTTCTGAATGTGTAAACTCATACTTGACAAACTGTATATTAAATTTAAATTATATTCAATCAAATTTTAAATAAATTCAATTAAATTTTAATTAATTAAAATTTTAAATAAATTAAAGTTTATTAGAATTCAATTTTAATTAAATTAAATCAAATTTAAATTTAAATAATATATTTTTAAATACATAAATTTAATTATATTTAAATTAAATAAAATTTTAATTAAATTAAACTTTAATTAAATTCAATTTTAATTAAATCAAATCAATTTAAATTTGAATAATATATTTTACAGGTAATATAATTTAAATTAATACGTACATACATAGTTAGAATATTAAAATTTTACTTGAAATTAAAATCAAACTTATTAAATTCAATAAAATCTTATTAAATTATAACTTATTTTAATTAAATTAAATTTTAATTAAATGAAATTAATTTAAATTTTGATTAAATTAAACTAAATTTTTTTTAAATTAAATTTAAATTAAATTAAATTAAATTTGTGTTTAAGTTATATATTTTTAAAGATTTTATTGTAACTTGTATTTAAAAATAATTTGCTTTCATACGTAGAAGTGATACTAGACTTGCATTCTAATAATATTGAATTATTTATTGAAAAAAGTTTAAAAATTATTTCGAGATATGCGAGATATTCGATTTAAAATTATTATTTGAATTAAATTCTATAATAAAAAGGGGATGACTTTATATATTATTTTAATTAGATTTAAATTGAATTTTAATTGTATTTATAGTTTGTATGTTTAGTAGACAATCGGCTTAACGAATATCCTATATAACTAATCCTTTAAATATGAAGAACTAACAAATATTTTTAAATAACAAATATGTACATTAAAAATGTATTCTTTAAATAATAAATAGTACATATAAAATTCATTTGATTCATTCATTTCATTTCATTTATAACATTGCATTCTAAGTTATACTAAATCTAAAACAGTGAACGCGTTTCATTTATTTATTTAGTATTTCGTTCGCATTTTAAATGTTTTATTTTTAATATATTTCAGAAAAATTTCACAACTAAACATAGTAAACTTAATAATTTTCTTTGGTTTTGGTGATAAAAATATTTGTGCAATAAATATGCGTAAAATTACTTTATTTAAATAAATCCTTGTATGCATATTTACATGTATTGATTCATGTTGCCAACAACTTATAAGGTTCCAAATAGACATGTTGCCAGTGTAATGAGTTTTGCTCATGAGAAAATGATAGCAACATGCAGCTGAACGATATCCACTTCCACATTTTGAGCATGTCAACACAAAATGCAACAAGCATTTTATTGTGAAGGCATTGTGCAATGGAACAGACCAGACATGCACGGGCAGGCAAAAGTTGTAGAACGCAGTAAGTGTTCACACAATACAATCCACACACATATGAGTATTGACAAGAAGCCAGCAACATTCCTTGGACTACGTAAACATCTGTGCACTCGCACTTGCTTGCGGCTGTGCGTTCAGTTGCTATTAGATTGCCGGGCGGTTCGGATGCGATGTATTGCGCAGCGCGAGTTCTTTAAACAAAACATTCAGTTCAAATAATGTTTCGGATCAAACAAAATGTCAACATTTAATACGAAAGTTGAATTAATAATTTAAAAACAAAATGAATAGTTTTGTGCAATATGTGGTATTTGAGTGACAAAATTTATAATAAAACGATGCCATAAAATTGTACTTAGTTTTGAGAAAATCGTATTCTGTGCGTTGAAAATTTCAAAAAAAAAAAAAATAATTTGAATAAAAAAAAAACAATACAAAATATAAATGTTCAAACAATTAAACTAAAAAGATTTAAATAAATAAAATTTATTTAAATAAAAATTAATTACTACTTTTGTGTTGTGTGTAAGTAGTGTGTGAAGTAGGCATAAGAACTGCTTGGAATAATTAAGAACCGCAGCTGGCGTCAAAGAATTGAATTGGCCAGTTTGCAGGCAACTTTAATTAATCGGGAAATATCATAAATTGCAGAAGTTGCAGAAGTAGTGCGTTTTGAATCATTAAAATGCAGTCCAATTTGCATACGAAATATCCAACTAACAAAACTAAACGCAACAAAACACTCAAACGCAGCAACAAAACTAACCTACACAAGAACAACACTGAAGAAGCTAACCATGGCGTAAAGTATGCGACAATCGCCATTGCTACACCAAAAAAATGTAGTAATGGCAACTGGAAGCAGGGCACTTACTTACCGTTGCTGTCGCCGCCGCTGTCGCCGTTGCCTTCGACGATGCCTTGGCTGTGTTTCTTGTTCTTCTTATTAGTCAGCGGTGGCTTGGATGGATTTAAGAAAGTTGCTGCACTTAAGGGTAAGTTTTCTCAGTCCATTTAAAAATAGAACAGAAGCAACAATTTTGAAATCCCGAATTAGAAATGCTTGTTCTCTCTCTACGACGTTTTGCTTGAAGGCTGGTAATTCCTTGTCGAATTGTCAGAAAATAATTTATTTCTTCTGGATTAGTACCGACTAGTTAGCCTGACAGTGGTGGGATTAACTATTCGAGGTACAATATGGTAATATGGTAATATGCGACAGATATTATTTAATAGTAGAATCGTGTCATTTCTTATGGGTCAGGAGAACATATTTCTGAGATTAACACATTTGTTCAATTTTATAGTTTTATCTGAGCGCATGTGTGCGTTTCTGTCTAAAAATAACAATTTTTAACAAATGTACTTATATTATTTTTACATGAACTCCTCTAATTAGAAATAAATTTAGAGAAAAAAATTAAATAAAAATTCTGGAATATAAAATTATTAGTTGACGAAATAATTTTTAATGTCATAAGTGCGATATATGCATATACGAAAGGTAATAGAGCAGACATAAAAATTCTGGATTGACGAAATTATTGGTTAAAAGAGCGATCTATAGTTAGAAGAATAATTAATAATCCCTTAACTGCAATATATCCGCCATATAGAGATATTAGTAAAGAAAATGTTAAAATTCTGAATTGTCAAGTAAGTTAGTTAGAAGAACAATTGAAAATGCCATAACTGCGATATATTCTTTATATAGAAAGACTGGTATAGAAAATTTTCTATATTTTCTGATTGCCAAGTTAGTTAGAATAGTAATTGGAAGTCCCTTAATTGCGATATAAGCATCATATAGTGATAGTATATGTTACTTTCGTAGTTGAAATGTGTTTCTCATTTCAACTTACTCTTATTTGTTTATAAACTACTATCCTATACAGAGATCATTTGTAGAACCTACTGTAGTAAATTATAAATAAATCACAAAAAGATTGAATAATACATTCTTAGTTGCATTTTAATACTTAGCTAACGTTTCAAAATGTATGCAGTGAGGTATTTTCATCGAATTTTCCTCCTTATAAGTGTTAACCATTTAAAGTTTTGTTTACAGTAGACTCTCGTTCAACCAACCCTTTAAATAACGAACGATTAAACATTTGTAAACAAAAAACATACCAAAAATATTATTCTCTTCATATAACAAATGCGGCATATAAAATACATTCGATATAATGAAATGCCTCGACATAATATATTTCCTTATACTCAGAGTATAGTGCGTTGTTTATATGTACTCTATAATATATCCTCAAACATATGTTTCTACAATATATAACAAATATAATGTATCATCTTTATGTCAACTAATTTTCTTGTGCAAGTATCGAGCCTACACCAATCCGAGTGCGTCCTTAGGATATAAAAATGTTTGGTCAAAAAAATGTGAAATGCCGTCGGTAAATTTGAATTTTAATGGACGTTTAATAAAATAAATTTTGAATATTTAAAGTCAAGTCAAGATATATTTAATTGTTTTAGGAATATCAATATTTTTAAGATTTAAGGATATTTTAAATATTTTTATGTCCAAAATTATAGTGAGAACTTTAAATAGTATGCGGACCCACATTTGATGTTTACTTCAAAATACATTTGGTATTAACTTGATATTATATAGTTCATAAATAGTAATTTTTATAGGTTTTTGGATTATATATGTGGTTCAAATTATGTTTTTATGAGCAAAAAGTTTATAGCTTTTTTTAGAAAATTTAAAATTTTTCTCAACTAAAAACTGATTGGTTTTTCCATATCGAAATAATTTTCATTAATAAATACAATAGGTTTAGAGGTAGAGCAAGCTAGCGGATATTACGCATAGACCTAATAGGTCCGTAGCAATACCAGTTAATATACATAATAGTGATTAATAATATATATATAGTTTTGCTTATCCTTATCTCTGTTTCAATTGATCGTTGAATAAATTGTTAGTGATTAATTATTTAACGTATGAGCACTTTTTTTAGGCGAATTTAATAATATATACCATATATATTATATTAATAAAGAATTATATAATAGTAATATTATACAATGATACAGTAAAATCCTTTTTGTACCACCAGATATCCATCATTAAATTTCACTAAAATAAATAATTACTTTATTGAATTGAAGTATGCTGAAGAACTATGCATTCCAAGATCCAAGAATCTGCCAACAAATGTATCTTTTTCTCTTTGCAACAAATATATTTTAATAAATATATAATCTAATTCAAATAAAAAAAAATTGGTGACATTTTCTTTTTATAAATAAAAGTAATACATAATTTTAAAAATAATAATTTTATTTTAATGTATTAATTTAAAAAAAAAAAAATTTAAAAATGATTCTCAAAATTAGAGCATCCTAAAATATCACTGAAATTAGATAATATATCTTAATTACGTTCACATTTCGTTTTATGTAGAAAATAAAATGAGCCAACAGATTGGAAACTTCAAGTATCTTATATTGTTTGTATACTAAGTATCTGGTATTTCGTGTTTTAGCTGCAATTAAAGCGAATTTTATGCATTTAATTATATAAAAATTCTTAAATAATTGAATATTAAATTAATTTTTTTTGTGATTGGCTTCAATTGACTCATACTCGTATCCAATATGACATTACTTTGCTTTCTTTGGTTTCTAGTATTCATTAATTTTATATACAATGTAAATATATGTTTAAATATTGCATATCAAATTCTATTGTATTCTTAGACGGAACTGCATTTCTTTAATGTATAGATACAAAAAAAAAAAAAAAATAGGTACACAAACAGATACAGTTATTGAAAAATGTTAGTATAAAAAATTTGTAAAACCTCTTAAGCTTCAAAGCCATATCATTTTTTAAGTTCGAATTAAAATTGGATAAACCTACAGCTAACATAGAAAGAAATATTGTTGGAGTCATTGATATTGCATATTTTTTCACATTACCTCTCTTTTTAAATTGACACACTATTGTGAAAGACACTCCAATTGCTTCAACTCATCTAAATTATACATACATCCAATGAAACTCTTCTAAATACCTATTTAAGGCTAGTAGTTTAATTCCAATCATTTGACTAAAATTTGTACCCTTGAAACCAAAACCTTTGACTTCAATAATAAATAATAGTCATGAAGGGCGAGATCTAGTGAATAAGTGGGATGGTCAACAAATTTGAAACGCAGTTTGTATGAGGCAATCCATTGACTTGTTAAAAAAAAGGTTTTCCTATACAAATGGGTAGTTCTTCGATAATTACTGCTTTTAATTCATAAAGTCATGTGCAATAGCATAGTATTTTTTAGTTATTGTGTGATTATTTTCGAGATTATTAGTTAACAGTACGTCTTTGTCTTTCAAATACTATAGTCAAAACCCACCCGATTGACAGCCCATCATCCGTCTTCTTCCATGCCCTTTCATCTTTTTCAATTCACTATTTCTATTATTATTTGTTCTCCAAATAGTAGTGGTGGTGTGAATTCACCACTACTGTATCTATGGGACACACATTTGTGTTCTGCGTTTAAAAAGTCAACTCCGTTTTATTTAAACCCTTCTGTTAAGCCCCTTTATTCGAAATCTTTTAATATAAATTAATATAATATAAATTAAATATAAATTAATTTTTTTTTATTCGTCTTTGATGATTAATTTTGTCCGAATACTCTTGGCAAATGAATTGCAGTGTGAAATTAAAAATCGTTCATTTTATAATATTTTATAGTCATATGACTAGGTATTGAGCTAGAACAATGTTTGTGTGATGATTTGTTTCATCATTAAACATCCGTATGGTCAACTGTTGTTTAATTTTTGGGATCATACCCATAGATACATTATTCAACACCTGCTGCTCGTATCAATCGATATGTAAAGAGTTTATATGTTTCTATTTCCGATTATATTTATTCCATATCCATATAAATAAATATGTGTTTTTTTTAGTTAAACATGCGGTACCTCATCCTATGTTCTTTAAGGAAGATATTCACATTTATTATATTATTAGTACAATTTACTGATCTATATATTAGCTTTGAAATCTACATAATGAAAAAAGCACTAAAATTTCTTATTGTATTGGGAGATACCTAGAAAAAGATATTTTTTCAAAAAACATAACTTGACAAAAGTGTTAAGAGTCTTTGAAATTTAATTGCTTCAACAATTTAATGGAGGGATTAAATTAATTGAGTTTGGGCCACATGTTCAGATTTTGATAATATTAATACAAATATGTTTATAAAGTTTCTCCCATCTGTTATACTATATAATTGAAAGATTATCTATCGGTATATATATTAAATACTATTGTTTCTCTTACTTATGATATTCATAATCAGTTCCTGTATCTTCCACTGGAGCATAGAGCCTCATGTTAGGGACTTATGTTAATAGCCATGTTTAAAAATGCTTTGTTTTTTAATAAACCGGTTTTAAAAGAAGAATTAAAAAGATAAGTTCATATTGAAAATGATCGGAATATATGGTATATTTGATCTGAAATTGTCTTCATAAAGTAGTGTAGTAGATATTGGAGACTATGTAAAATAATATATATTCATGTATTAAAATAATTATATAAATTGGTGAAGCGATGTACATTCATCTGCATATGTGCTAGTTAGCAAAAAAATTATTATTAGATTAGAAATTAGAAGGTAGAAGTATAAAAAAATTATTTTTTGACTTTAGTCGCGAAAAAAGAGTAACAAAATAGTAGTAAAGGTAGTTTTGATTTAATTCTTTGTGTAATATGCTTTTTAGTTATATGACTGTCTGTAAATCATCGTCCTAAAGCAAACATATTTGGTTAATTTTTTGAGACTGAAGACCCCCTCCCACTATATTCTTTTTGAAGGGTTGAGTGAGGATCTAATTTAGAAATCTAATTTAGAAAATATAGGCGCTAGAAGGTTATCATTGCTGAATGTTTCTATCATTTGATATGACATTTCTCCAACGTTTATGTTTAAAAGCAAATTT